CAACCGTACCCTGGGCTGCGTAGAAAGCAGCGCGGCCGGCAGGTCGAAGGGAGCCGATTGTCCCCCTCAGCTCCGCTCTCGTGGGACCCCACCTGGAGCACTGCGTCCAGCTCTGGGGACACCAGCACAAGACAGATATAGGACTTGTTGGGGTGGGTCCAGGGGAGGGCCACGAACATCTCTCCTATGAAGAAAGGCTGAGAGAGGTGGGGTTGTTCAGCCTGGAGAAGAGAAGGCTCCGGGGAGACCTTACTGCAGCCCTTCTATATATATAAAGGGGGCTTATAAGGAAGATGGAGAGAGACCTCTTACCAAGGCCTGTAGTGGCAGGACAAGGGGCAATGGTGTTAAATGGAAAGAGGGTTGATTTAGATTGGACATAAGGAAGAAATTTTTTACAGTGAAGGTGGTGAGACACTGGAACAGGTTGCCCAGAGAGGTGGTAGATGCCCCATACCTGGAAACGTTCAAGGTCAGGTTGGACGGGGCTTTGAGCAACCTGATCTATTGAAGATGTCCCTGCCCACGGCAGGGGGGTTGGACTAGATGACCTTTAAAGGTCCCTTCCAACCCAAACCATTCTGTGGTTCTGTGATACAGCAGGGACAGCACGGACATGTGCGTGGAGCAGCATCACTGAGAAGAAAAACAAACCTCTTGCTCTCACCAAGTTTGTGGACGACACCAAACTGGGGGGAGCAGTCACCACAGTGGCGGGCAGGGCTGGCAGTCAGAGGGACTCATCAGGCAGGAGAAACAAGCTGATGAGAACCTCATGGAGCCCAACAAGAGTAAGTGCAGAGTCCCTCATCTGGCACAGAGTAACCCCCATGCAAGAGGACAGGCTGGAGGATGGCTGTCTGGGAAGCAGCTCCATAGAAAAGGATCTGGAGATCCTGCTGGACAAGCTGAATATGAGCCACCACTGCACCCTTGCAGCAAAGGCAGCCAACTGCATCCTGGGCTGTATTAGTAATACCAGCCAGCAGGTCCCGGGAGTGATCCTTCCCCTCTGTTTGGCACTTCTAGGATTACATCTGCAATACTGTGTTCAGTTTTGGGGTTGTTGGTACGAGAAGGATATTGACGTGCTAGAGCAAATCCAGTAGAGGGCAACCAAGATGGTCAGGGAGCTGGAGAAGGTGATGTACAGGGAGAGGCCGAGAGAACTGGGTCTCTTCAGCCTGGAGAAGAGACAGCTGAGACCTTATCATTGCCTACAGCTACCTAATTGGAGGATACAGGGAAGATGGAGCTAGACTCTTCTCAGAGGCGCACAGTGATAAGACAAGCTGGAACCTGGGAAAATCTAGTCAGATGTCAGGATTTTAATTTATTTTTTTTAGAAACACCATGAGGGTGGTTGAATACTAGAACAAGTTTCTGAAGAGAGGTTGTGGATCTCTATCCCTGGAGTTGTCCAAGAGTCAGCTGGACATGGCTCTGAGCAACGTGATTTAATTAGACCTGTTTTGAACAGGAAGTTGGACTGGAGGAGTCTGGAGGTCCCTTTCAACCCGAGTTACCATTCTGTGATCAAGTTTTCGATCTGCACCAATTTAATCCTTTTTGATGGACATCAGTCTGTGGACTCAATATCCACCTCAACTGCATTTCAAACAGATACTTTCTACAGGAATGTCTTCCTTGTGCCTGTCTGTAATTAACACTACAAGCATTTTTGCCCTATATGAGCATCTAATACATATTATGGATGACAACACAATCTCCTTATGCTAGTTTTGCCTGGAGAAAGTACCAGTCCAAATTCTCTTTCACGTGTCCTTGTGAATTTGGATAAAGCCACTGTACTGAGCACCAGCTGCATAGAGGTAACTCAATGCATTGCACATGACAGCCTTTCTTTTCTGAACCGTGACTCGTGGCTGAGAATACTAGAGAAAAATTTATTGTAATATGCCGATGACAATTTTCATGAGTGATACAGTCATGAATGTGTTATGACAGTTTAGTCATCACTAAAGAAAGATAAATGCTGATACAGAAAAAAGGTGGTGTTCAGACAGGCAAACAACCCCCAGGAGTAAAGAACTTGTTCTGAAACATGTTGTGTCTTTGTCTGTGTTTCCAGGCAATTTAGTATGCTTTTTTCTAATTCTTTCCACTGTAGTTTATTTTCATCTTTCAGTGTTTGTAGCTACAACACTTTCAACAACCTACTGTCCGTAACAACTAGGGAACTAGTAGAAATCCAGGGAAGTATCAGAGATCTCGGACCGATTTCTTGACTGATCAAACAGGAGTTGGAACACCAACTCCTTTCCTGCAGCTGGACCCTGAGCCAGTAAAGTCAATCTGATGGAGACCAGTTCAGACAGGTGTGGACCACCCTCCTTTTTGCCCTTCCAATGGGTGTTGCTGCTCCTCAGCGGCTGAGACGCCATTCATCCAGTAACATGACAAGAAGCAGATTTCTGCCCTGTTGGGACGAGGTGGCAGTTGCATGGGAACACTGGTGACATGTAAGTGTGCAGTGAGGTATTTATACCACACCATGCACCCATGAAACATACCTCCTGGTGATGTCCTGTTTCTGTGCAACACAATGCTAAAAGACCTTTCCCACAGCTTGGGTATCCACCCATTTCAAATGGAACTGACAGCCTTGCGAAAAAAAAAAAGACCGTTAAAATTTTAGGGCATTTTAGGGAAACAGCAGTTCTTTATCATGTCATGCTTTTGTGTCCAGTAGTATATTACTATTGGTCGCAATATTCAATCATTGTAAGAACAATTTTAAATGATGAGATTTATCAGCTTAAATATTTGAATGTGTTTTAAGCAGCTGATAAGCCTGTTTATAAGATTGAAATTAATTTTAATAAAGCTCAAATTTAACAGAATCCCCATTTGGCGGGTTTATGCAGCCTGTTTGTTTGAGGTAGGAATGAACAGAGCAAGTTACATGGGTTTTATGAAATTAGAGAGCTATGGTTTGAAGACAGAACATTGGCTCATTCTGTTGATACAGGACCCTCGCGGTACCTACACAGAGTCTCGTGAATCTCTCAGTACACAATAACACTCCATGCAGAATTTTTTTCAATTTCAATCCTTCAGTCTTGCTTACAATTTTAAAGAGCTCAGTCAAGTTAACTGTGTTGAAATCACTGGGTATTCAAAAGCGATGATTTTTTTCTCTCTTCACAGTGTTTTTCTGTTCTGTTCTGTGACCTTAGGTGAAGTTTCTGATGATAGCCACATAAACTGTCACTAATTGTTGAAGGGCAACCTATCCTCCAGTAAGTGTATTACATCCAATTTCAGTGCAGTTAAATTAGATTTCTCTAATTTTAGGATTTCATTGTGAAAAATGCTTAGCATGTTGTAGAAAAATCTACATATTCAGCCACTCAGTGTCTCACCATCCTCCTGGAATGTGTCGTCCTTTACTTGGAATTTACAACTAAGCAAATCTTTCTTTACTGGACTTACAAGCGTCTGGTGCCCTGAAGCCGTGCTCCCCCCACACCCCCAAGCACATCCCCTCTGACAACACAGCAAAGCCTTCCCCTTCCCCGGCCATAGTCCAGGTAGCTCCTGAAGGCCAGGGTGACCACTGCCCCGACAGGACACGGCAACCAGCGCAGGCCTGGCCTGCTCCCAGGCAAAGCTCCCACCCACCCACCGCAGCAGACCCCAGGCTGCAACACTCTGACCCTCACAAGCAGCCCCCCTTCCCG